CTTGCAGTTCTCACGAAAATTTGATGATACGGGGGGTGCTAATGGCACGAATCCCCATATTTGTTATCTCAGTAAACTTTAACATTGCTGTAATGTCGACCTTTAAACATTGATCGTCAAGCTAAATCAAATTTAAGAAATTTTACTGTTGCTATAAATACCGTTTTAACGTTAAAAATTCTCCAACCTTGAAGTTTTTTTAGATATGGCATTTGGATAACATTTGCAACTCCCCCCGGAAAGTTTACTCTATGTATCTCTCGCTTGAATTTCGCCACTCATCCAATCTCGTACCCAGAGCAATGCCTGTGCGCGGGCTAGGATGGCATTGGCTCTGGGGAAATTGAAACCGGAACCCCTAAATTCTGGGGTTCCGGTTCTTTGTCGGCATGCATGATTGATAGACGTTAAACCAATCACAGCACAGGAAAAATTCAATTTCCCCAGAGCCAATGCCATCCTAGCCCGCGCACAGGCATTGCTCTGGGTACGAGATTGCCACTCATCACAATAGTGCAACGTTTCCATGGAAACATTGCACTAAAAATGAATATAATGAGGTGTATTAGTTTTTAATTGCCCTGCGAGAACAAAGGGAATACCCGCAATCATGATATTATGCAAGCTAATACACCACCACCAGGTGCTGGTGAGACAGATGATTTACACCTCAATTTACTTGAAAGGAGACCCAAACATTTAATTTCAGGTTCTCGAAGGAGTTCAAGTGTTCCTTAGCGTCGTCACACAGGAATTTCTCTTCAAGTTCACGTCGCACAAACGATCTCTTCACTCCTCTTTTAACTGCGAGGTACAAAGTGGACGAGAGATCTTTTTGTTCCGACCAATCAGCCCATACGCTCCACACAACCAAAGAAAACTATACAGAAACAATGCCATATTAGTAATACAAAAGATACCAAAAATTCAATTCATAGTTCTAGATTCATAAAAAACAATACCATTGCTCCAAACATTTATTCATTTCACAAAGTAAGTATGTTAGGGACGTGCAAGGGTGCATATATTATCTTGAACAGTCTTTGCCAGTGTAGGTAGTGGCAATAATAACAAAACTTGGGTTGATAGCGATACAACTACCTGAAAAATACACGGAGAACTTTGACGTTTTGAGTGAAGGCTCAATAATTGATTCATTGCGTAATCGTGGTCATATCAGGGAATGTTACCAGTATAACAGAAAAGCGTTTAGAAGTATTGTAAAAACTACCATCTGAGAATTAAATTGTATCTGAATTAATTAAAAACGTGGAATTGACCTCATTGGTTATTAAAGAGCGATTAGATTCTGTAAACAAGCTTTCGTTCATGATAGGGATACTACCTGAAAAATATAAGGAGAATTTCGACGTTTCGAGCGAAGGCCCTACGTCGGGAGTTTGGCTAGTAACTCCAGACCAAGGGCCTTATTTTTCAGCTAGTTGCATCCCTACCAACGAAAGCTTGTTCATATTATTGCCACTACCTACACTGGCACAGACAATTCAAGATTAGATTCTGTGGTTTTCTGATGGATGTGAATGAGTAGATGAGTTATGAATGTTCTGAGTATATGTACCCTCATCTGAACATTCATAACTCATCCACTCGTTCACATCCATCAGAAAAAGAAAATCGCACCTAAAATTGCAGCAAAAATTTGCGAGTCAAACAGGGGCCATTAGGAATCGAAATTCGCCAAATGTGCACAGTGGCGGCGCCAGGCTTCCAAATTTGGGGGGGGGGGGAGCATTTGAGGGGCAAACTCAAATTTTGGGGGGGCAAGATAGAATTTTTAAAAAGGTCGCCCCCCCAGGAAATTCGCCCCCCCCCCTCTCAAAACGTGGCGATATTCCTTGAAATATCGCCACCGGGGCGAATATCCTAGGAATATCGCCTCCCAGGGGGGTGGAGCGAATACCTTAGGAATATCGCCCCTCTTTAGGACATTCGCCCCCCATAGATGCGATGTGGTTCATTCAAATAATTTCGTGATACTTTCATCTTATTATTGCCTTACACGTTTGAGAATTTAACTGCAAAACTAAAGTTTGCTTGTCTTTTTTTGAAACGTATTATTGGAGTATTGGCAAGTTTTACCATTCAGAGATTTACAAACTAATATTGAAACTGTAAAAAACAGTTTCATGTATACGCGCATTCACTAATGAGTAACGACAACTTATAAGCCATACATTTTCCGATAACGACAGAACGCTTGCGTAGCCTTTAGTCGCTCTTAGTGACTAATATTTTTTTTTGAGAGGGGGGGCAAAATGGGGGGGGGCAAAAAATAATTTTGCGGGGGCATTTGCCCCAATACTTTGTCGTGGCTTAGGCATGTTTTTTAAAACAATTAGACCAGTTTATGCTTCAATATAACTCTTTTAAAGTGTTAAATATAGCAAAACAACAAGAACTTTGGTAATATTCGCAATACGCGTGACGTCACGTTTTTCAACAAGGACACAGAATAAAGACATACAGAAGTGTATCTTCTTATTAAAAGTGCGTAAGGGTTTTTTCAGTCCGCCATGTTCTTAGCAAGTGCCCTAAAGAGAGGCAGTCACCCCCCTGAAAACATATTGAAAATTTAATATTCCAGGGGGGGGGGGGTGAATGCCTCTCTTTAGGGCACTTGCTAAGAACATGGCCGCCAGCTATTTCGGTAAAAAGTGCCTTACGATTTTGTAATGGAAGTTACACTTCTGTATGTCTTTATTCTGTGACAAGGATGAGGTCAATGACGTCAGATGTTTCCAATCCAGTTATTTTACAATCCATGATCATATGAAGCCATAAAGTTATTTTGAGCAAAACTAAATGATTTTTTTCAAATTAAATGGATTATTACCATTTAGCAAAGGGAATAGATCACACATAAAAAATTAACTCACTAAAATACCAATTAATATCCAAAATTACGATGTTATTTATCTGTCTGTACAAGCCCATGAGCTTTTGTTTGGCCGTTACTGTATATTTGCAATAGCCAAAATGTTATTAAATTTGTGCACTTAATACTTATATAAATATGATTTACATTCAGTGGTGTTATTGAGATCAGTGTGGTTTGTTCAATTTCATACCGCATCCATGACAAACAGACAAATGAGACCTCTGTATGTACTTCCTCTGTGGTTGCTGCATGCATGCATATATTTCTAGCTATTTTGTAATGGAAACTGAAATCTTCACTAACGCAAGTCAGTTTGATAGTTTGAATTAACCTTATTCAAATTCACCCAACGAAGTACTGTATTTTGTATTCTGTGAAGTACAGTACAACAATGCGTGTTCTTACACTGACAACTACAGCAATTATTATACATATATGTTATTTACCGGCTGCGAGGTCCGCACGGAAAAATATTTTCCCGAGGTCTTAGAAGAAGGCCGAGGGACGTTTGGGAACATATCTTTCAGTACGGACTGACCTAAACGGTAAATAACGTGTGTATTTTTTTACTTGATGGTTCATGCTTATAACGAAATTCTGATAAAATTCCAGTTGCAAAGTACATTTGAGATCGTTGCGCTTGTAGCTTTAGTGCAAACATGGCTGACAAACTGTTAAAACTACGAGCTGTTTTCTACCATAGCTGCATCAAGCACTTGAAAAACGGATGAAATAATTATACATAGGGGATATAAGGCTGCGCGAATTAAAAAGTCACTTACAAATACCCGAAGAACTTCGTTCTGGTCGTGTTCAGTGGACCTGTGCGATTCGATTTTAAAGATTTCTTCTCTTAATAATGGCTTCACTGGCAATGGCTTCACTGGCATCACTGGCTTCAATGGCTCTGGCACATCCCCTTCTAAATTCCTCTGAACTCCTCTATCAAGGTACTCGGCGGTACCTATAAAGTGTGCACAGAAATATATGGGCTTCTAAAATCGGAAATGTAAATTCCAAACTACTGTAATGTATGGTCAAAGTCTGATCGTAACCAAACAATTACCTGAGCTTGAAGCTTCACTTGAGGTTTCATTTGGCCTTCTAAAGTTCGAGCTGTCTTCTACCATAGCTGCATCAGGCACTTCGTCGTTGCCTTTCACCTCATCACTGTGAGTTAAGGCTATTAAAACTGGTGGCAGTTTAAAGTTCTCACCACTGCAAGTGGTAAAGTGACCAGATTTATCAGGAAACTGTTGATCTTGGCATTCTCCTAAACCTTGCAGGAACTTCAACCATGATGTAAAATTATCTAAATTGGTATTCAGATGAGAATTGTTCATCTCTATCTCTTCCTCTTCATTACTTGTTTTAAATTTGGGAACGGCGGGTTTATCAAACTCCAGAGAAAGATCGTGAACTTCACAAAGCAGCCATGGGTATCGTAATAGATTGACTGCCCAGCAAAGTCACTTACAAATACCCGAAGAACTTCGTTCTGGTCGTGTTCAGTGGACCTGTGCGATTCGATTTTAAAGATTTCTTCTCTTAATAATGGCTTCAGTGGCAATGGCTTCACTGGCATCACTGGCTTCATTGGCATCACTGGCTTCAATGGCTCTGGCACATCCCCTTCTAAATTCCTCTGAACTCCTCTATCAAGGTACTCGGCAGTTTTTTTGTATAATACAGTCTTTGCCTCACTTTCACTGATCATAAACTTCTTCACTTCTCTCTTTTTCCAGGGATCTTCCGCATTTTGTTCTGTTAGCTCGATAACATTAACGTCAATACCAGTGGTACTGGGTTGATCTTTGTCGAATGGTAATCCTAAAAGACGTCTCATCAGTGACGTCTTTCCGCCTCGCTACAGTATTGCTGAATATCATTGTGTAAAGCGCGCAAACCTGTGCAACTGCTGCAACATAGTCAAATTGCAAAGCATTCACATAACTATAATTTGGAGAATTATACTCCCAAGAATTCGAGTTATATTCAAGTTAGAACTGATCAATGCTTTCTCAAAACAACAGTCTTTGGCGTTTTCAGCCCGACTTCGCGTTTTCTACCAAACGACCTTTAAGGCCCTGTTACACGGTGCAATTTTTCATGCAACTTGTCTCGCAATGTTTAAAAAAAGATTTTGATAGTGCATTGCAAGAGGTGTTACACGCTGCAATGATTTTCATGCAACTCGCAACGATAGGGGACAGAGGCATGCGAAGAGACTAAGGAGAGGCGCTATTTGGCGCCAAATTTTAATTAAAGTAAAGCGTGTACTGGGGAGAGCCAATAGGAACTCTCCAAGCTATAAACATTGCGAGACAAGTTGCACGAAGCCATGTTACACGCTGCAATGCTAGAAATAATTAGTGCAATCGTTGCCAAAAGTAGAACCGACTTCTACTCTGTGCAATGCTTCATGCAACTTGTCTCGCAAAGATTTTGACCATTGCAAGGCATGTTAAACGGTGCAATGACTCGTGCAACTTGTCTCGCAACGCCATTGCGAGACAAGTTGCATGAAAAATTGCACCGTGTAACAGGGCCTTAACTCCCTTCAGACAGAATTTAAAATTTTGTGAAGAAGAGTAATCTAAAATTGACAGTACAAGTAATTATCGTATCGAGCCGAAGGCGAAAATTTGTATATCAACACGGCTGCTTATGTTGTAAATGCCTTGTGAAACGTCTTGATGAGAACATTCGTATTCTTCAACAATGTAAAATAAATTAATGATATTTGGTGAGAAAATTGAACTTAAAGTTTATGTTAATCAGCATGATTTTGTACCAGCTATACAAACTCGTTCACGGTCATGATCCAATATATCAATATTTTTTCGCGATTGTATTTTGCTTAATTTTATGCAAAATTTGCTTAATTTTATGCAAAACTTTATGTTTTCAAATTATGCCAAACAGCCACGATATAACAGCTTTGACTCATCGGGTGCGTGATATTTTCAATAAAGTGTGAGGCCAGTGATCAGTAGCCTCTGAAATGTCCGCTTTTATAATTGAAAATGCATGTTACTTGTTAGCACTGATTGTCGCACTGGGTGAATCGTGCATGATCTCACCAGATAAACAATGTCCAATGAGGGTAGTTTTTGCTTTTCTAAAACATTTGTAATCCACCGTTGTTTAACACCGCGGAAAAACGTCTGCGCATGCACATCATAATTTATGAAAATATGGCGCCGAATTTGAATATCAATTTCTAAAACAAAAACATGCTTATTAACTGGTCAAAAATTAGTAAAACAAACGAGAAAATATAGCAAATGGGTAGACTAGACATTAATTGAAAGCGTCCTGGCATTTAAAGTATGAAATGAAATATAATTCATGTAAAAAAATGTTGATTTTAACGGACACGACTTCGAAAATTTTTGCAAAATTATTCAAAACAAAAATTCGAACTAAAAAGTTAAGAAAACTCTCGAAAAGTTAAGCTTCTTAACCCACTCAAATTGTAGAATAAATCCTAAAGTTCAATTATTGTGAACACGAAAATTTTTTATATTTGGCGACACAGTTTTTTTTAAAGAAATGTATCTCAAACGAAAATTCGGAAATTGTCGTTGCTTAGTTGATAAACAAAATGTTTCAGACGATAAATTTGTCAACAATCACCTTTAGTTTATGTTCTTGTACAATACAATTTCTTGAACCTTCTGGCTGTATTTATTCCTAGTTTTTAGAATGACATGTTTATTTTTGCGCTCGAAATCTGGCTGTAAAGACGCACAATGAAGTCACTCCTTTTTACCGCCATTTTGAGCCTTCGGAAACGTTCGGAACAGTTTCTCGTCAAGTTCGCAATACTATTACCACTGAGCTATACTATATTACTGGAGGACCTGCTCGGCATCAAAAAGTGTCGCCAAAAACATGGCGGATTTCGGCCTTTGCTGACGATGATTGTAGTTCTTGGGCGGGGGTTCTAGTTAGTGCAGGATGATGCAACTACTGTAGCTATTAAGGCTAAGACAAATAAACCTTGACGTTTCAGCCAAAGAGCCTGGGGCCTTTATATTTGTTCTTATTTTTTTAGGTTTTGGTGTCATACACATAGGACTGGGTCATTCCAGAAAAGATACACACTCCACCCACAGAGGAAATTTCTGCCGTCCGGAGGGGGAGGGGAGAAAAAATTGTTTCTGATAATAGTAAATGTATTGGGACATCCGAAGGGGATAACTTCCAATTTCCTCTGTGGGGGTGGTATGGATGTTTTGTGGAATGACCCATTGGTTTTCTGTGACTTCTAATAGTTTTTTTGATAAATATAATTCTGAAAAAACAATTGACAATGTATATTTAACTGGGTCACTCAACTTGCCGACAAAGTTCAAGCATTGTTGTCTGAAAACCTAGTGTATTTCTTTTGTATTCCTCATTTTCCCCTGATATTATTTCTCATGCTTTTTCTCTTTTAGAATAACCTATATAATCTATTCTTGTTTATTGCAGAATTATCTACCACAATGATGCAGTTGAAATTGTATTATTTTAATTTAAATTCTTCAATGAATAATTATTAACTACCAATCACCAATGAGTCATTCCAGAAAAGATAAACACCAACTCCACAGAAATTGTGCTGTCTGAAGTGAGCAGAACTCAACTGGCTGTTAATAGTAAAAGTATTAGGATGTCCAAAGGTGGGAGGAAGCTGAACCTCCCATCTCTTCCATAAGAGGTGTGGATATTTTCTTGAATGACCCAATCATTTTGAACTAACTGTATAATTATATTAATCAATTAGTTATTCTGGTATAATGATCACTTTGTAGTCCCATGAGCTGTGACATCACTTTGCATTTTGATCTCTTTTCAATTTTCTTTTGGTAGCAATAACATATTATTTACTACTACAGATACTGTATTACTACACATTGTTACACCCAAATAAGATCATACACATCAATGTTAACTATCATGATAGAATACAGCTGTTACAGCAAGAACATTTTTGCTTCAGTTCTTGTATATCACTTTGATGCCTGTAAGAGAAATGAGAAATAAAGTTACTTTGTTTATGATTGTTTTATTCTACGGTGTGTGAAACTGTTTCATGTACATTTCAAAATTAATTACAATGGGTGCATACTGTAGGTTCTGGCCAGTTAGCTCAGACCACCACCCCTACTTTGCAAGTTACAGCTCTGGCTGGATTGGAACTGTTAGCTCTGGTGCACCACTAATCTTGTATAAATCTGAATTAACCCATTAAGTGCCAGCGCTCTCCCCGATTGATAAGTAAAATTATCTGGTGTTAGACAGAGTAAAATAATTTGGTGTTAGACAGAGTACAATAATCTGGCATTATACAGAGTAAACTTACCCCCTTCCCCCCCCCCCCCCCCCCCCCCCCCC